ACCCTAACCCTAACCCTAACCCTAACCCTAACCCTAACCCTAACCCTAACCCTAACCCTAACCCTAACCCTAACCCTAACCCTAACCCTAACCCTTCCAGTGAATTAACGTTAAATCACGTTATTTCACATGTGATTCACATCAATAAAACGTTACTCTTTTCATTACTTTACCTCTTTATTCTTTTAGCTTTTATATATTTCTATATATAAAGTTAGGGTTAAAGTAAAGTTAAGGTAGGGTTAAAGTAAAATTAAGGTAGGGTTAGGGTTAAAGATATAGTAAGGTTAGGGTTATAAGGGTTAGTAGGGTTAGGGTTATAAGGGTTAGTAGGGTTAAGGTTATAAGGGTTAATAGGGTTAGGGTTATAAGGGTTAATAAGGTTATAAGGGTTAGTAGAGTTTAAGGTAAAGTAGGGTTTAAGGTAAAGTAGGGTTAGGGTTAGTATTATAGGTAAGGTAGGGTTAGGGTTAGGGTTAAAATAAGTGCTTAATATTTCTTACTTCTGTTTCCTCTTATCCTATATCCTTATTTCAGCTCTTACGAATTCCATAAACTCAACCACCTCTTTCTCCCCGATCGTAAAATCTCGTCTTCCTCGTCCTCTTCCACATCGCTCACCCTGTCATACAATTTAACGTGTGAGTTGAATGTCACATTGACATTTCTCACTTTTCACACACGCTTTTCATAAATCTCATTGACTCTCTAGCTTTCTCACAATAAACCCTATTCTGCTTTACCCCTTCACTGCCTACTGAATCCTACTCGGTTACTGTCCCGGTCAAACACAGCATGCACGTTCTGCAACCATGAATCACCAAGAATAACACTATCTAAACCAATATCTTCACCCACCACACTCAAAACACATTGTCCATCATTCGTGGTACCGAATGACGTCGTAGCGGAAGATAAAGCTTGAGAGTAGCCACCTAACTTAATTGTTACCTTTGGCGGACTGTTGCAGTTGTAAGCACCGTAGTAAGCACCATCTTGTTGGAATTGCGTCACACCTGGCAAGTTTGCGAAAATACTTTGTGCGGTGTTTGTTGGTGCAACAATAACCGTCGTTCCTGTGTCTTGAATCGATCCGGTAGAGACACCAGCGATCGAACCACTGTCAATAGTCCAGAAGCCTTGGGAAGAGTCAACATTGACGTAAGTTGGCGTTCCAGCCTTCGGGTCAACACCACCGAGATAAAGAGTAGATGTTCCTTTTGAGAGCGTGAATGTGAAAACATTCTTAGCTAATGCACCAGCTTTGCTCAATGTGTCAAAGAATGGTGGATAGCCTAAAGTTGCTAAAGATGGGTAGCTCATTCCAGCGATACCATTGTTTGGTGATTCTCCAGTCAAGAATTGATTGCTTGACCAACCCAAAGCGGCAGAGCTGGCGCTTAAACCACCGATTGAAAATGTGTCCGTGTAGACGGGACCTGAAGCCGTAGTGCCGTCTCCGTAAGCGGTACGGAAAGTACGACCTGTGTTCTTGGCTGTTGGGCCTGGAGTGTATGAGTTGTGGTTAACAATCACATCTGCACTTCCCGTATCGAAATCGACGTAGATTGTTTGTCCTCCGAATTTGACTGGTCCTGACCATAATTCCTCGTTTTGAATATCTGTCAAGCTGACTGATCCAGTTCCTGCTCTTTTCGAGAATGGCTCGAAAGTCTTAGATTGTAATGGATGTGTATTACCCGTGTTTGATTTAAAAGCTTGTAAATTGTCCGAGTATTTTGCCTTTACGTGATCCAAATGAGCGCGAACTTTGGTAAAGTCAACTTCATTTGTACCTGGAACCAAAAGAGCATCACGTTTCTTGTTTAATGGGATTGTATTTTGGTTTAAGCTGGCTGGGTTTGGTGCAGCAAGCGTGACGGCAGATAAGAGCACGGTGGCCAAAGCAGCGAAAGATGCAGTGAGCTTCATGATGGGGGTTAAGTGGGTGGGGATCTGGTTTATGGGAATGTGAGATGGGGAATTTTGGTAAGAAGATTGAAAGAAAACTTGCTCTATTTAACCTTTTCGTGGAGCATCATGAATGGATGACGTTCTTCTCAAAGTACCTTCTGTTTCGCCGAATTCTCCGTGAATCTCTTCATCGTGTGGGTAACGGAATATACTCCGTCTCCTTTGTTGGCCGTAACGGATGTCGTATTCGCAATTGAGATAAAGTTAATGCCTAAAAAAGTGCGTGCGGTACTTGCATAAATGACTAGCGTTGCTCTACTTGTCATGGATAAACAAATTGATAGCATGGTGGTACTTGTTTTCTGCGTCTGTACTATTTTACGATAAAATTGGTGTCAGAACGCCTTATCTTGTCTAACACATGTATCACCATCAGCAGCACCCTTAGAGCAATACTCATGCTGCGATTACGCCAAACAAGTAAAAAAAGTGACCTTCTAGCGTTAATTTTAATTAGAAGGTACGCTAAAATATGTCGTAAACACGTTGACTTCACCTTTCTTCCCGTAAAATTGGCGGAACCGGTGTGGATAAGAGACAAGTGTGGGTATTGTGTGATCGTTTTAGCGTGAATGGTGAACCATGTGTCTCTGTTTGCGTTGCATTCTATTTTGCGGCGTTAAAGCGGTTTCTTCGGTAATTGTTTGACAGCTGCATCTCCCACATGCTCTTTGGTTGATTGGCCGTTTAAACACAATACATACGCTCTATACCTCTCAAGATAGCCGGAAGTTAGCTAGCTTATCACGGATATTTTGCTATTTGTTTGTTTGTCTGTGTGCTTACATGCATAAGATATATATTTGCATGTTTCTATCATATGCGGCTATAATGCATCTAGAGCAGTCCAACTTTAACAAGCTAGAAGCTTTCTACATGGATCGTTGCTGTCTGGAGAAAGAAAAGAATTACAAGTTACTTAGTTACGGCCGAATATCCATAAGAAGATGATGCCATTTTACCATATCGTCTTTTAAGCTCCAAACAAACAATTGCATACCATGAGGTTCCTCGATTAGCGTCATTATTGTTCCTCACTATTTCTTTATCTCTACCTCAGGTACAAGTATAAATCAACAGATACCATTCATAAATATCTGACTTTATTCGGAAAAGCTTCCGCTCTTTCCGAGAGAATATATCAATTAGTATGAGATAGCTCTGATGCATGACGAATTCCAGTATCTTAATCGAAATGACGTAGACTTTTTCACATGTAAAGTCATTTTTGGCTCTGATGGATGAGGAAATTAATTATCCTAATCGAGATGACGTGACTTTTTCCACATGAAAACTCATTTCTTTTCTTTTAACATCTTACAAATGCAAAGTAGTCAACCTTTCCTCTATATATGATAACAATGATCGGACTTATATGTCATTCGTGCGGTGAAGTGAGCAATCATTGGTGAAGTGTATTGTCTGCAAGCCTTGTAGTAGTAGTAGTTGTTGTTGACAACTTGTTGTTGCTGCTGTTGCTTACGTACTCCAAATCCTCTCCTTAAACAAATTCGGGCCGTGTCTAGCATTTTGTCCGCGGGAAATGGCTTATATGCCACACTGCAAGCAAACAGATAAAACTTTTACCGAATCGGATACCGGTTAATCATAATTCCCGTGAAACAGTTATTCTGCCCAAGTTTAATCTTTACGTCTTCCCGCTATGGGAATAACACATGCGTACGCGCGTTCTTGCCTTTTACGCGACGCATTGGGGTTTCGTTTTATGGTACAACACTTTCTTAATTTCTCACTGCTCAAGTACACATTTCATGTTTATCCGAATACATAAAAACACCTCCACGGACAATCAGTGTTGTTTATGTATAGTAGTAGCTTGAGAAAAAATTCTCAAATGACGCCGGAGGCTTTTTGTTTTTTTACCAAGCACGGATAAAACTTTCTTCCCATATAATAAAAGCGAAACTTTCATTCCATCCTTTCTTCCATTCTGACCATCATCACAATACACTGTTTGGGAAGATGTCTACCAAAACTTCTTCAAATCCTACCAATAATGGTGGCGAAAGCGTTGATGTGACTATGCAAACTAGTCACATTGACTCGGAAAAGATGGATGACCTTTCCCAATACACCAATCGCAAATTGCCTTGGTCACCACGAACAACCGATTTCAATGAAATCGCTGCACATCCATACAAAGGAGAAGGCACAAAAGGATCTCCTTTCCAAGTCGTTTGGCTACCGAATGATGCTGAAAATCCCCTCAATATGAGCGAAATAGAAAAATGGACTTTAGCTGCGTTTGTCAGTATTGCAACATTGGCTGTAGCGTTGGCATCTTCCGCATACAGCGGTGCGGTAAGATCGATCAAGATGGAATTAGGAGGCTCAAGTACAGTGATTACTCTAGGAGTTTCTCTGTTTGTCTTGGGTTTCGCTTTAGGTCCTTTAATTTGGGCGCCTTTATCGGAATTGCTTGGAAGACGTAACCTGTTCCTTTTCACATATGCATTCTTAACGCTTTGGAATTCAGTTGCAGCCGCAAGTCAAACCTTAGCTCAACTTTTGGTATTTCGATTCTTAGCAGGCGCTTTCGGTTCAAGTCCTTTGGCCAATGCTGGAGGAAGTATCGCAGACGTTTTTACCGCCAAAGAACGTGGTTTAGCAATGGCTCTCTTTGCCAGCGCACCTTTCTTAGGTCCTGCTTTAGGACCAATCACAGGAGGCTTCCTAGGTGAATCAGCAGGATTTCGATGGGTTCAAGGATTTTTAGGTATATTTTCTGGCGTTGTACTGTTTTTAGGCATTTTCATGTACAGAGAGACGTATGCCCCTCTCTTACTCCGACGTCGTGCAAAAAAATTGAGCAAGGCTACTGGAAAACACTACATCTCTCAACTAGATGCAGGAAAAGGCGATGAAACATTCCTCAAGCAATTCATGGTTTCTCTTGGCAGGCCTTGGCTGTTATTGGCATATGAACCAATCGTGTTATTGTTATCACTTTACACTGCAGTCGTGTATGCAATCCTTTATTCCTTCTTTTCAGCTTTCCCAATCGTGTTTCAAGAAGTACGTGGATGGTCACCAGGAATTGGAGGATTGGCTTTTTTGGGTATTTTGGTCGGAATGATATTTGCTTTTGCATTTGTGATCTTTTATATCAATCCCGACTACATCAAGGAAGTCGAAAAGAATGGTGGATTCTTTGCACCTCCAGAAGTTCGATTAAAAGGTGCTTTGGTCGGAGCTCCACTATTGGTTCTTGGATTGGCTTTATTCGCTGCAACTGATTTCCCAAGCATTCATTGGTCTGTTCCTATCATTTTGAGTAGTCCATTTGGATTTGCCATGGTATTGATCTTCCTCAGCTTGCAAAATTATCTTATCGATGCATATTTGCTGTATGCAGCTTCAGTCTTGGCGGCCAACAGTGTCATTCGTTCACTCTTAGGAGCCGCTTTCCCACTCTTTACGCCTTTTATGTACAACCCTGGCGGTATTGGTGTGGTAAAGTATGGTATCCACATTGGTCCTGCAATCGGTGGTGGAATTGCCTTGTTGTTCTTGCCTGCACCTTTCTTATTCTATAAACGAGGAGCAGCAATTCGTAAAAAGTGCAAGTATGCTGCTGAAGCTGATAAATTGCTCCAACGTATGTTAAACGCAGGCAAAGAACAAGAATCAAAAGAGAGCGGTAAGGCGGGGGATATTGAAAATCCATCCGAGACTGCTTCAAAAGCCGTTCAACAAGAACAGCAAACAGATGAAGCCATCATGCAAGACGATGATGTCGAACAAGCTGATGACCGTATTCAAAGACATGCAAGTCGATCAAATCGACGCCAAGCGAGTGGTACAGGATACGCAGACGGTGATCAATTATCTATGCAGTATAGTCATCACTCGGTGTATTAATGGAATCACGTGTAATTTAAATGTATATTGGAATACTTGTTTTTTGCTTGTAAATCTCAGGAATATCATCATATCTAGAATAAGATCCTCTCGGCAAGATTGTTTTACCATTCTTTCAAGCCGGAGAATTGTTTTGAGATTGTGTGGCTTGGAATGTGAGCCAAGCGCGGCGCGTTCCTGCAGAATCCCGATAAACTTCTAAAGAAGGATCGATGGTAAACAGAAAGTTAAGAACATTAAGTTGAATTCTATATAAAAGATAGGTTGAGGAGATAATTAATATGGTTCTCAGTGATATATTTCGCGATGCGTTATATTTGCTATTTGCTGGTCATATCATGGCTAGCATGTTCAATATTGGCCAACAATACACCTTCAGATTACAATAAGGTTAGGATAGAGGTGGTTGACCGACTACAACAATACGATGTAGAAAAGAAGCATCTAGTTCGCGAACATGAGAGAATTCATTACCACAAGAAACACGATAGGCACGTTAAGTACGATAGACACGATAAATACAGAAAACTTCATAGAGTCGTAAAGAAGAAGAAGACTATACACAAGAAGAAAGAGGTGATCAAAAAGAAAAAAGAGACGAACAAAAACGACAAGAAACATTCGACAGTGCATCACAGGGAAACGTCAACTAAAAAGGTCTCAACGAAGAAGAAAGCTACTCCTACTTTAGCCAAGCCTATTAGTACTGTAAAAATGCCTCCTATTACTGCAATCACGAGAGCATCTCAAATAAGTGCAACCACAAAAGCATCTCTGTCAAGTATATCTGTATCTTCTTCAACATCTTCCACACCTTCCACAAGCTTACCCAGCTCAAGCTCCACCGTAACCTACACATCTGGACTTCCTTTACCTACTTATTCTCTCACTCAAGCAAATAGGGGCGCGAATTTCTTCGAAACTGATTATTGGAACTTTTGGTCGGATGCAAGCGATCCAACGCATGGTACAGTCACGTATGTTAATCAAAGTACAGCTTATTCTCTAGACCTAATCGGAGTAAACTCAAACAATCAAGCTTTCATCCGTGCAAGTCAACAAGATTTAGACTTGGGAGTTTATCGGCCCTCTGTTCGATTTGGATCATTTCCAGCTTATGATTCTGCTTTAGTGATTATTGACGTGGCAAAAATGCCTGTAGGATGTGCAACTTGGCCAGCAATTTGGTCAGTAATGGGATCTGAATGGCCCGAATACGGAGAGATTGATTTTATGGAAGGTATAGGGTACACGTCTATGGGTGAAAATGCTAATTTGATGTCTGTTCATATGAATGATACTTCTTATCTAACTTCAAGTAACGATAGTTATTTAGGCACAATGTCAAACAGCAACTGTATGACGAATTACGGCTTGGGAAATACGGGATGCGATTTTTATGATAGCAACGTTAATGGACCATCTTGGGGCGTGCCTTTTAACAATGCTGGAGGCGGAATCTGGGCCGCTTTATGGGGAAACAAGATGGGTGTTCGTATCTGGTTTTGGGGCAGAGAGAGTGGTTTGATTCCATCAGAATTGAGTGATCCGACTTCTTCACCCGCCAAATTGGATCCGAGTAAATGGGGTAAGCCAATGGCAGATTTTCAATCCTCGGTCATTAATCAAAAATTACGACAACAAAATCTCGTCTTGGGTATCACAATCAATGGAGATTGGGCAGGGAATGTGCCAATGGATAATACGCAACAATGTGGTACAAATCGTACGATTGCATTGGCAACTGGATCGAATTATGCTGATGCCGAATTTGTATTGAATGGAATTGATGTTTATACTTGAAATGCAATCAATGTATAGTAATGTAATCTATATCTTTATTCTTTTTAGCGTGTTCTTCGTATTGTTCTATCTGCCATTTATGGAATGTTTCCCGCTTTCGGGATAAGTTTAAAGAATTCATATCAGAATGACTGTTCTACTGCACCAGTACAATTGAAGCTAGCAAGAATAGAATTTCCTGAAGAAGCTTCCACTTTTTTAGATATTGATAGATTACGGTGACGATGGTTATGATGAATGAATCTTGAAATCATTTAAAAAGACCGATAGTACTGACATGTTTCCTATTCATCATCGAGAGTAAGCCACAATGCTACGCCTTTCTACAAAGGTTATAATACCTTTTGCCTTGATTGTAGTACTTACTCTTGCTGTTGAAACGTGGACAAAGCCTTTATTGTTTCCCCCTGGTGGTGGAGGAGGCAATTCATTATACACTCTTTCAAAGTCAAATCGGGGACCAGATTTCTACTCTGATGGATTTTGGCAATTTTGGACCGCAGCCGATCCAACACATGGCTCTGTTCAATTTGTAAGTGAAGCGAATGCTATTCAACAAGGCTTGATCGGTATAACAGGATCAGGCGCTGCTTTTGCTCGAGCGAGTAATATAAATCTACCCGCAAACACAAACAGGCCTTCTGTACGTTTCCAATCATCGGCAGCATATGATGAAGCGCTGGTCATTTTTGATGTTGCTAAAATGCCAGTCGGTGCCGCTACTTGGCCTGCTTTATGGACATGCGGTCCTGATTGGCCAAATTATGGAGAAATCGATGTGTTGGAAAATATTGGAGTAACTGGACAAGGTACTTTTAGCAATCTTGTTTCTGTTCATATGGGCAGTGATTCGCCTAACGAAGCATCTCCGTCTTCGTTCTCCGGAAAGGTAGCCGGATCAAATTGTGATACGAATTACGGTCAAGGAATGAATGGATGTCAAATATATGATAGCAATAATCACGGACCTTCTTGGGGTGTAAATTTCAACAGTAATGGAGGAGGCGTTTGGGCACTGCAATTTGGTCAGGGAGCGGGTGTTAAAGTCTGGTTTTGGGGACGAGGACAAGTTCCAAATGAGTTATCCAATCCCCGTTCTACGCCTGATATTTTATCAACTTCCGATTGGGGAGAACCGATGGCTAATTTTCAATCTGACGTCATTAATTCAGATTTACGGCAGCAAAGTATTGTATTAGATATTACGATCGGAGGTGATTGGGCGGGCACTCAACCATTAGATGGACCATATTCTGGTCAATCGTTAGCGCAAGCTTTACAAAAAGGTAGCAACTATGATGATGCAGAATTCATTATAAACGGTATTGATATCTATACATAAAATCTTTTCATACTTATGGAATAGTAATTTTGTTTTTACTTGGACTCCTTGAATGTATGGCAACGTGATAATTTGATACCATCCGTAATTTCTGATAGTCATATAAACTCCGTTCTAGCCCCGACCAGTCTGCTGTCATTCTTATGATAAAAGTTGTGGAACCGCTTATCTTTACATGTACTTCTCGATCAGCCATCGGTACCATCTTTCGATCGTCGCGCTTTTAAAGATGAATATCAAGTCGTGAACAGAGCACGGTAAGAACAGGCACGTTGCTACAAGATTTGTGCAAGTGATCACTCAAAATCTTTGAGACGGCACCGAGAAAAGACACCGGAGTACCGTTTTGATCGTAATAATTAATCCAAATTTGGCGTTTTGATTGATAAGAAAAATTGTGTAGGATAACAATTAAAGGTATATAAGAAACCAAAAAAAATGCAGCAATGACCCTTTTTTCACTTACCACCAAGCATCTTCTAAATCTTTCAAAACATCTATTCAAAATGCCTAAAGAAACTTCAATTCCCATGAGCAAAGAAGCCTCATCTAGAATCCAATCAGCTGCGGCAGTAAGTACATCTTGTCAAACAATCCATTGAAAAGCTACTCATGAGTCTTTTCTATAGAAAAATCCCAGCAGTGCAACCGCCCAAACTGGATTCGCTCCAAGAGCACAATCCGCAGCTGACCGTAACGCTAACACTGCTAGTCGTAGCAACACAAGCAACGGCGGCAAAAAATAATGCAAATTGGATGTGGTATTTCGATTTCGACATTATTCTTGAAAATTCAAGTCTGACATCGATACCGCGATCATCTAATTCGTCACTTTGTGTTTAAACTTTGACTAAGAGAGGTAATACATATTCTTAAACAATTTTCTCTTTTCTTTGAAATCATTCTGTCAAAATCAACTTTCTATTTTCCTTTCTTTCAATGATCAGGTGTGATAATATTTATTACCAAAACAAAGCGGGTTAGGGTTAGCATTTCCTTTTTTTATATACTATTGTATAGTTGTCACAGTCTAAGCATTGTGAAAATTACCATACAGACCGTAAAGCAGGAGTTGGAGCCCGTCTCGATACATTAGGAAATCGTAAAATTTGATAAGTATTGTACAAGTATATGTCGACAAAGGATCCCTGCATGCAGCATCACGGCTGCCTCTTTCGTTCGTCGTAAAAGAAGGACAAGATATTGTGACCGTCTGCTTCATCCATCTGAACGCAAGGAACCGAAAGCAGATCCTGCAAATACTGCAAAGAAGGATCTCCACTATTTCCGTACATGTCGAAAAGCGACAAAGATTCTGGCGAGACAGAAGCGGCTGCTGTCTGCAAGCTACCATTTCCTATTACCATCGGACCTGAAGGTGATTGAACATGCTTTGAATCAAACATCAATTGTTGCATTCCAACTCCATTGGGTTGCAGCACGGTATTATTGTCCGGTTGTGCAATTTGTCCTTGATGCCCGTTAACGTATCCATTTGTGGTTTGCAAGAGATTGATCTTTTCCGAACAGTAGGCCAAGAACTTGGCTAGGTAAGAAGCTTGTTCCAAATTTCTGTCCAAACAAGATGCTGTGGTATTGGCAGCAGTTGTAACGGCAAGAGCTGCTTGTAATGCCAAATCGGCAGGCATAGTACGCCAATTATCACTGATCCAGACGGCGGCAACTGCAAGATTCATAATGACGATATCATGAACAAATCGAAAGTAGTCTTGTTCACCATAAGGTCCTCCGATCAGCTCAAACAACTCCACAGATAATCGACAGCAATCCAAGAATACACTCTGCTTCCGTGCAGGATCCAAATCTTTCATCACGTTTGAGCAATAAACCGAATACAACGCACGATGATAATTGAACATCGTATTTGCTGTATGGAACAACAAACAAGGTCTTCCAGAATGCATCCTTCCACTTCCCAATCCGTATTCTGAAGGTTGTTTCCATATCCGTGTATTCGCCCTTTCTGCTGCGATTGCCATTTCGATTTCTTGAATTCGTCGAACGGCAATGGCTTTTGTTAGTGCACCTTTGATGCTTCCACTATTTCCTTGTCCTACTCCAGCATCTCTCTTGAGATTTCGCATCAAATTCTGTTTGACTAATGCGTTCTCGCGGGAAGCTGCCAGTCGAATATCGATATCCTGTACCTGATCGCCCAACCATTCGATCCACTGCCATGGTTCTGGAAGAAGGGAGCGATCGATCGCCATGGGAATCCTACGTTGATCCTGGTAACCATCTTCGAAACATGCTAATTGCAAAAATGTTCTCTGTCTCTGAACGAAATCTCTTGGTGGTGGCTTTTTGCGTGGACCTGATGATCGAGCGCTACTGATAAACACTTCGTTGAATGTATGCTGTAGACCGAGCTCAAGCGCCATCGTCACTGCTAAACGTAACTTTCGCCAGCTCGTGCCATCTTGTGGATGCTTCCACATTGCCAGAATTGACAATGAGAGAACGTAGTCATGCTTAGGTGCAATATCTTGACTCGAGATCCTTGCCAAGGGCGCTTCCAAGAATGACAACAACCGAAGGTATTTATCAGGCATACAAAATTTAGCAGAAACGGTGCACAAAGATGCCAACAAAAATCGATGACGATCGTCGGATAAAAGTGCGTCAGTGCTATACAATTGCGGATCGAGTAAGGCGATGATCGGGTTCAATTTGAAGTAGTAGAAGGAAATTAGATCAATTGCTTGGTCGCGGGTGATGATATCGGTTGAGAGGATATGCTCAACGATGAATTGAGATTCATCAATACTGTCGTGTGATACCATTGGCTTCTTTGCGGTTCCATTGGATGGACCTGCATCATCTTCTTGCATATTGGAGAATGTAGTAGAGGAGAGCAAGGTAGAATGAGAGGGATCTACAGAAAGCATAGATTGAATAGAAAAGGGTTGGACAGCATACGATGTATGTCGTTTTGGTGACCTACTGCTAGAAGAAGCGGGTGATCTTTTGTTGGAAACGGAGGTTTTGGCAGGATGACCGCGATGTCCGCTTTCATCTTTGACACCTTTACTCTTTACGCCCCGATGATGTTCCAAGAAGTTACACTCGATTCCTAATCTTGTACAACGAGAACAAGATTGACTATCATCTTGAATCATACATCTTGATTTGATCGCTCTGCATCCGGAACAAGCTCTCTTTTCCCGAAATGGAACGTCATGTTTGCCTTCAGCGATTATATCAGGCCTTGCAGGTGGCATTTTTGATGGTATGAATGCATGTGGGTATATGAATGGTGGCGATGAAGATGATGATTACACAGCTACCTGTCTTTTCGCACGAATTAAAAGTGGGGATAAGATAGAAAAATGAAATTTACTCGGATTAGCTTATTTGTTTGCAAGGGAACATGATCGGTGTAATTTCGGTAATTTTCAATGCTTTTCGTTCCTTACGTGTGCGTTTGTGTGCGTGTGCGTGTGCGTGTGTGGCTTAATGTACCGCGTGTAAAAGTCAAAAATGTTGACAGACACAATTTTGCACACTACGGCCGAAAACTAAAAACACATATGCGTACATCCATCTTCTAAATCCAAGTACCGTCAAAAGCATCAGCAGGATTGGTCTTGGAGGATAGATGCAATTCATTCATCACATCATCCATCTTCATTCTTTCACCTTCTTCTTTTGCCGTTCCTTCCAACGCTTTGGCTTGTTCTTCAGATGCTCCAGTATGTGCACCCGCTTCTTTAGATTGATTCCTTTCTCGATTCATCAATAATTCAACGCCTTCTCGATTTAACCATTTGATCTGATCGGGATCCGTATAACGTGTACCGCCTTCGTCCGTCTTTCCACCAAATGCTTCTTTCAGTTCATCTTTATTCATTTCAACTCGATCTTCTTCGGGTAATCCTGCAGGTGGTGCACCTTGACCGGTTTGTGGAAGCGTTGGATTGCGCATAGAAAGTCGAACACTTCCCGATAATGCTATTCCCAGCTCTGTTTGAACGTCACCAATTTCGGTAGGATGAGAGAGAGCATATGTCAATCGAACGTTGGAGCGGCTAGGCGGTTGTAGTTCATGGAAAACGATTGCATATCGCCCTCTTCCTGCTGGTCGTGATCCTCCAACATATCGTTCGCCTCTAGTACGTGTATTGTATCGCTTTTCACCTAAATCACCTAACAGTTCGCTTACATCTGGACCGATATCAGACACGACTGACCAGATTGCCTCACTTGCATCACCTCCAATTCCGCCAGGCTGTAAACCTTTCTTGATGGCCTCTTCGGGAGCAGGCATTCGTTTCTTACCCAAGCGGATCAATCGAAAGCCAACGCCTTCTTTTCTGGCTTTTTCACCACTTGTTCCCGAATAATTGTTTTGATCATTTTCGCCATTTTCATGCTTGTTTGTTGGAGGTGCATTTTCACTGTCACTTTTAGCGGGTACGAGTAAGAGATGAGTACTTTGAACGTCATCGATCGAAGTTGCTGCTTTTCCGCTTGTTTCTACATCATCTGCAGATTGTACTTTTGGACGATAGAAGAAGTACAATAGTCCTTGTTCGAGTACTTTGAAGTTGCCTTCTTCATCACCCGTTGAATCTTCTTTGCCAGGGCTCAGGGTTTTGTTTTCGATCGGTTCTGGTTCAGCATCGTTTATTTTGACAGCTTTATTGGGAGGTTCATCTTTGTTTTCTTGATCAGGGTTGGGTCGTTTCTTTTCCTCATTTCCGTTTGCGTCTTCATTCCCCATATCCTTTTGACCGTTATCTTTTGTATATTTTGACTTTTGTTCTTTTGAATCTACCATTTTCATTTGACCATCTTTGTCTTTGTCTAATTTTGCATTTCTACGTGTTGCTACCATTGTTGTAGAGTTGGTAGAGTTATACTGATCATCATCTTCTGCTGAGCAACAAAGAACAACATCATTCATTCATTTTGCTGATTAAGCATATCAATTTTCTCCACATTCTTTCTAAAACCCTTTCAACGCGTCGTAAAGAAGAACACGCGTACCAATGAAAACAATAAAGTCAATCATAAGAATCACATCATCGTGCCGATCACGGTAGCAAAGAGGAATCAATGATATAAATGCTATTCGATGACTTAGTCTCGTCAACATTTCATAACACATTAGTATACGGACTAGTACTCGTTCTATTGGTTAAGAATAAAATATTCCATTATAAAAATACTAATATATATTAGACTATAAAGATATACACTATTTTTATCCTAAATACGTTGTACAAACGATAACCGGATGCTCTTAAATAAAACGGCCCGCAAGATAATTTTATCTTGTGTATAATCATGTGTATTGAGCAAATTTCTGTGCATTCGGACCAATCGTCATTTCCGAAATTTAGACACCCAAATTCCCAGATCGATTGAAAATTTCAGTACTTTACCTGTTAAAATTCATTTTGATCGCAAATTAAACCAATCTTGATTAAAAATTGTACGCAAATCATAAAATTAATCTTGTCAGAAATTTGCTAAACCTCAGAAAGACAAACGATACATTTGTCACCACTCAATCCATCTACAGTTCACAAAAGCCATAAAGTTCTCTTATTTCTTCAAAACATATTCTTACGAAATGACGTCCTTTCTTCCACTTGAGAGGACGGCTACTGTTAACCGGCTTGCCATCTGCTTCTACACGCAAATTGATACAGCGCCGATGAAGTTCTCAGTTTAAGAATTCAAAAAACGCAAGATAGCACCGTTGTTAGCAAAGACAAAAATTATGGATATTATCAAGAAAGTTCACGCGGCAATCATCAAAAGTTTAAAGTCAAAATACGTTGCCGATTTCCTGGAAATTGTGTCTGACTATTTGCAAACCTATAGAAAGGAAAAAGAGAACTCAATCCTAAACTACCGATTTGATCCGGAATCCAATGTCACTTCAATTAACTATCTCTATCAAAAACATGCAAAAGTCATCATCGTGAAAGTGTTCAAAAAGTATCAAAGTACAGTTCGTGAAGCATTTGACCAACAGCTGGCCACGTTAGAAGATACAAATAGCGAAGCTACAATAAAACTGGTGATTAAAAGCTTGCTCATTCATGTTGAAAATGAATGCCGCAGCGTACGAATCGACCCTTTCTCTCTTTCTGACGAGGTCTTTCAGGCATACATGACTGAGACCGAAGGAGAAAGTGGTCAGCCTAGGCAAATCACTGTCAAGATGGAAAGTCCGTTCTGTGTGTTCAGCTTTGGACATTATATGAACGCATAGAAAAGTGGACATTTTTCGATATGCAGACGATGCAAAGAGACGTTTCAAAACAATTTAAAGAAGATCCTGAAAAGTTCAAGCTGGGATTCTGCAAGATCATTACATGTGTATTTAAGATTGTTTGTTGGACATTTCAGGGTGACAAAGACTTGAACGAGCAAATTCGTCAAAACTTTTCCCTTTCGCAACCACCGATGGGACTTAATTATGATATAGGCTATTGCAGAGAGACTCAATCAAGCTACCGGCCAAAAGAGCCAAGGAGACAAAAACCGTTCTACGGCAAGGCAGGCAAGTCGAATAAGGGAAGTACATCAAAGACACCAGATACCAGAACCAAGGAAGAGAAGGAGTGGGACGCAGAGCAACGCCGTCAAGCTCCTTTAAAACGCTATGAAACAAGGCTTGCGGAACTTTTAGGTGAAGGAACGGAAGCGAAACTTTATGTCAGTCAATTTTGTTCGAGTATTAACGTGTACCTTTCTAAGGAGAAGCGAATTCAATTCACACCATCGAGGGAATGGTACGTTGATAGTGGCATCAAAGCAGAAGATACGATTCAATTGCGTCTTAAATTAGGAGAAGAGCTCTACTATATTTATGATCCAGATGAGCATAATGATGACGACGAGCATTATGGCGTTGGTGGTGAGTTGATCATTCGAAAGAGGAACAAAGACGGTAGTTGGAGCGAATATCCCTACTTTTTCACAACCAAACAAGAATCAAGCGCAGAAGTGATTATGGAGATCATTAAAGAGCAGAAAGTTCAACGTGACTCTGAGACAGTGAACGGATGAATGATGATATAGCCTGTGTAAATATTTTTGAATATGATGAAATGAATCAGATGTCATGATAGAAATCACCGCATGATCTTTTCTTCTTCTTCTTCTTTAGCCGATGATGGTGTAAGATGAACAGATTTATGCGAAAATGACGTGCTCGACACGTTTGAAGCACTTTAACACATACTCTCTATTTTAAACAATCAAACTAGCGTGCATTAACGGAATTTACGCCGGTTCTTGTTGTACTGCTTGAGTGCCCCATCTTAACCCCGTTCCTTATGAAGTTTTTATCTTTTTTTTCATTTTTCGCCATCTCGGACAAGATTCGTAAACTTTTATGCCAAGGCGCTGGGCATGAATGATGTGATCAGATTCAGGTATAAAGAAGCAAATATAAAAACATCAAAATTGAAAATGTGACAACTTTCTTTCATCCTCCCACTTCACTCTCAAGTTGATTTGACGACCATGTCCCTTCATTCTTCCGATGAAGAGAATGGCAAACATTCGCCTATTCCCAGTAAGGATGGCGATGATGCTATCTCGTTCAGCAGCAACAACAACAACAACAACAACAACAACAATACCCTACCAAAGCTAGAGAATAAAGGGCAGCACGACACCGAAGAAGCAATTCGTCAAACACACGATGATGTATCTTCAATCGCATCTTCAGAGCTACCACAAGGTCGTTCTTTGGGTATGATGTCTGCTGTTTTCATCATGGCTAATCGAATCGTTGGTACAGGTGTATTTGCAACAACGGGTACGATTCTCGGTCAGAGTGGATCTGTTGGAATGAGCTTGTTGTATTGGTTGATCGGTAGCATCGTAGCATTTACCGGCTACTTTGTCTATGCAGAGTTCGCATCTGCTATGCCAAGAAATGGAGGTGAATTAAACTATCTTGAGAAGGTCTATCGGAAGCCAAAGTTCTTGGTAGCATCCATGTATGGAGCACAAGCACTGCTTCTTGGTCAAGCAGCGGGAAACGCATATACTGCAGGACAATATTTCATCCGTGCAGGAGGGACAGAATCTCGCGAATGGGCTGCAAAGGGTATTGGGATTGCAATCTTACTCGCTGCTCTTATTGCACATGGTACCTTACTTAAATGGGGTGTTCGCTTTCAAAATGCGCTTGGTCTCATCAAATTCTTCATTCTGTTGCTGATCACATTTGCAGGTTTTGCCGCTCTGGCAGGTCACGTCAAATTGGAACAGAAACCTCGCAATTTCGAAAACGCTTTTGAAGGTTCTCGCAATGACATTTACGGTATCTCTCAATGCATCTACAACGCTATTTGGAGTTATGTTGGTTACTCAAATGTCTTTTACGCAATGGGAGAAGTGCGCAACCCTATTCGAACAATGCGTTATGCTGGACCGATTGCCCTTTTGGTGATTACGATCTTGTATGAGTTAGTGCAAATTGCCTACTTTGCTGCCGTTCCCAAGGAGGATGTACTACAAAGCAAGCAAATCATTGCAGCACTCTTTTTCAAAAACGTTTTCGGGGAAAAGTCTGCTCGTGCTTTGTCTGTGTTTGTTGCGCTTTCTGCCGTTGCAAATGTTTTCTCCGTCGTATTTTCGCAAGGTCGATTAAATCAAGCTCTTGGACGGGATGGCTTAGTCCCATTCTCTAAATTCTTTGCCAGCAATCGTCCTTTCAAGGCACCTTTGGCGGGTGTAAGCTGGCACGTTGCCATGACACTAATTATCATGCTTGGTCCTCCCGCTGGTGATGCGTATAATTTCGTCTTGAACTTATCCTCATATCCACTCAATGTCGTCAACTCTGCCGTCGGCTTGGGTTTATTGAGTGTTTATTTGTCCCAACGCTTCCGTCCACAATGGGCGAAAGATTGGTCAGCACCCATTCGTGCTACTTTGCCGATTGCATTATTCTACACCCTTGTTTCGATGTTCTTGGTCGTCGTTCCATGGATCGCTCCAAAACGTGCAAGTGATGCAGTATACGAAACATTATGGTATGCACTTGCACCTGCCGTTTCAATTGGTATTTTTGCATTGGGAGCTGCATATTGGCTGTTGTGGCATCAAATTCTACCACGAGTTGGACATTACAAGCTCGAACAAAGAGCTGAAACTCTGTCTGATGGAACAAAGATTGTCACATTTGAAAAAGTGTACAAATAGACTTCTGTAGTATACATAATAGAATCTTCTTTATAACAACCTTGCCTTTCGCTCTCCTCTTTGAAGAGCGGGTAATCCTCTTTGCTTTCTCCACCAATTAGAGCGATAAATGATTTCCTCATCCAGTAAAAACCACCATTTTTGCGCAAACTTTTCTCCAACTTCCCAAGCGAATGGATCAGAATAATCCGTTCCCCAAATCAAGAATGCTGGTTCTTGATTAGGATTTCCAGGTAGACCTGATTGAAAGCAATCGTCACATAGATCGCCTTCATCTATTATTGAGCTTGCCAACATTGTTAATATCTTTTCTCGCATCGAAGGCCAAGGAAATGCGATATCGATGAAAGGATGATGATCTATGCGTAATTGTGCTTCTGTTGGATGCATGTTTAAGGGGATGTTTTCCCAACGTAATCTTTTATCCATCAAAGTAGAAGGAGGTGGTAAATGAGTGAAACCATTCTCGCCAAAACCATTTCTCGGTGAATGAGCAGATGAAGATGAAGATGCATTGGATTCGGCTCTTTTTCGCAATCCGTTCGAATGTGGGCCAACCATGGAATTTCTCCTTCTCATATCGCCAAATCGTTTGTCCGATTGATATTTTGCGCAATCCTGAGAAATGAAACTGGAAGAAGAAGGATCACATGCATATCCTACATCCATTCCCACCATTCTAGCATTCTCAACAAATGCTTGTGCAAAATTGGAAAAAGGTAAAGTGAGACCGGGAGAAGTACCTTCTTGGTTTGGTGACTGTTGGTAAGCCAATGCAATCACTTCTGACCAGCTCAAATTAGCTAAATTGAATGTTGGATGTTGTGATGCTATTAAAAGTCTTCTGCCTAGCATTGGATCGAAAGGAGGTGCAAGTGATGTTCTTCTGTATGGTGGCTCGATTAGCATTGAATGTTGAAAGGCAGGAGCATAGGCGGGATGTGGAGCATTAGAGGAGTGATAGCCCGGCTGTGGTGAGGATGTATGTTGTTGCATATCTATTGTAGCGACTTGTTTTGGGCTACTTCCGCCAGTTGAAGTGCTTGCATTTCTAGATCTTTCTTTTTGTACCTTTTTATGTGTTGAATGTACTTTTGATCTTGATATTTCTTCTTCTGCTTCTTTTTCTATTCGTTTCTTTTCTCTCCATCTCCTTTGTGCGTCTTTATTTTGTTGTCTTCGTATTTCCATATATTCATCAGAAGTGATTGAAGATTTACGTGGAGCGGGCATTGTGCCGCTTTTAGTTGCGAGCATTGATGATTGAATGAATGAATGTGATGGTGATGGTAGAGTAGCATTTCAATCGATTATATTTCTTGATATGATCTTATTTTGACTTTGTTCTTGACAGACGATTTCCTCTCCATTCTTTGATCTTTTTCTTTAAATGAAACAAACGCGGGGTAAAGGGGAGAAGAAACAAGATTACGGGGTCGTGTGGTGTTGTAATCTGTGTTAGGCACAAGTTCAGTCTTTTTTCTCCACTGCATATCCGGTCAAAGTTTCTACCGGGTCAACACTCTATACCGCCTTTACACCTGTCAAAAAGGGTGGGAAAGAAGATTGATGTACAGTTTTGATAAAAAACAGGCCATATTACGCTTTGATGGCATTCCGTCAGTGTATCAAAGGAATAAGATTATGTGCTGCAGTACATTCACCCGGTATCACTTTATTCCGATTGAGATGAAACAAGACAGATAAAGTGCCACTCAATTTGTGGGGATAATTTGCATCGTGGGAAGATTAACAAAGGATCTGCATAAAATACAACGACCCATAAGCAGAAACATGCAACCCGCTCATAAACAATAAGCGGATACACCCTTACTGCACGGCGATCACCTGCATTTGAACAGTGATCAGAATAAGCTTATTCCTTAAATCACACGTGATGAGATTAGATGTGCTGTTTTCGCACTTGCAAGAAGTCCTCTGATTGGCTATGCCTACTATCACAATTTAAATTGGGCTTAACCACCATGGATTTATCTTTACGCACACAAATTTTCACAAAACCGATCATCTCATTCCCGGTATGAGTGTGGGGTAAAAGTGTCAGCCTGTGACGGAATAAATGTTCATGATGGGAAGCGGTGTAGTGCTATCCACCAATTGCGGGCTCGCACCAATTTGAGTAGGTAAACTGACATTCTTGCCAGTGTTTTGATCAACAATTGAATATCCTTGTCCATTGCCTAAATCCGTTAAAATGAAATAACCGGCAATCATTTGATTATCCGTAATAGCCAAAGATGCAGTAATGAATTTCTTTTTTGAACCGTTGACACTAGCAAGACGGATTTGGAAAACATTGTTACTTGGACTGTCTTCGATTGCATGAATGACGAATTTTGTTTTTGGCGTATTATGGAGAGAAGATGATTTGCACATTCTTAATTTTGTGCCAGTTGCATCATATCCTAAAGCAGCATTTGGTACCTCGAATACCAAATAACGTCCTTCAGATGGATTTCCAGTCAGCTGCTTGTATCCTGCCTCTACCGCCAAAGCAACAGATTCAGTTTGTTTACCGTACGGTACTGTCGGTTGGTGATCAGGATATTTGGCTTGGCATACCGAACCGCCATTATAATCGCCAGTCGTTGGATCAATAGATGGCATACGGGTTTTGGCAAAATGCGGAACCGAAAGATCTTTCTTGCTAAAATCAAAAGCTTTGGTTAAGTCGGACAATTGTTCACGGCGCCATTCAGTCATTTCTTTCGAGATGAATGGTTTTCCCTTTGCAGCTGCCCACTTTTCTAGGAATAAGATTTGAGATTCATGCGAGGCAATTTCAGTGAAAACCTTGTTTCCTCTTGACCATGGTGAAACGACAACTAAAGGCACACGGAATCCTGGTCCGTTTGGTTGAATGCCTAAAGATGCGTTATAGAAATCTTTGATATACTCCCCCGGCGTATTTGCCGGCGGAAGAGGAGAGATAACATGATCTGCCCATCCACCAGTTTCGTCATAGGAAATGATTAAAGCTGATTTATCATAATTTTTACCTTCAATCACAGCTTTCACCACGTTCTCTTGCAACCAAGCGCCATCCAGAGGACCCCAAGGAGGATGCTCGCTTAAATCTGTTGGACCAACAATGTAAGACACTTGAGGCAATTTACCTGCTTTGGCATCATCGTAAAATCGTTGTAACCCAATTCTTGCTGTTCCTTTTTCAGCTAAAGGCGAACCGGAGGGAGCGTTGACAAAATTCTCAAAAGAGTCAAATGGATTATCGCCAAAATTGTCTTCATCTTGGTAAACTTGCCATGAAATTGAATTGTCTTCCAAATATTCTGCTACCGTTTTCCATTTGTATGGCCAACAGCTGTACTCAAAACCATCATTATTTTGGCTTTTAATGCAACCGGGACTATCGTTATTATCCAAAGTAGGTCCATTGAGTCCCATTTTAGCTTGTAAGATACCATTTGTACTGCCTCCCCATGACATACGGTTAGGATTTGTTTCAGCAATGATTGATTCGTGATAAGCGTCACCGATGGTATACGCATCAGCGAGAGCGAAATGGAATGGCATATCTGCTCGCTTATAGTATCCCAAAGAATAAGGTGTTAAACTTGATACTGCGGTATCAATTTCACCATGATCCCAAAAAGCATGATTTTCTTGCCAGCCATTACTGCCTGCAACCATGCATTGATAACGATCTTCAGAATCGCCACCGGCAGCGTTGATATGCCAAGGCAATAGTTCACTTACGCCAGCGGGAGGCGCTGGGTCAACATCACCGGTAACAGGTTGATGAAAGACGGACTTTTTGGTGTTTGTACTAATGTGGACGTTTGGATCACTGAAGCCACGAACACCTTTCAATGTACCATAATACTGTATAGGAAGTTAGCATTACAGCTGTAATTTAAATCATTATTTGAACAAGACTCACATGATCGAATGCTCGATTTTCTTGCATGAAAAGGATAACATGATCGATACTTGCCAACGAATCAGCAGAAATATTGGCAGGAAGGGAAAATGTCAAATTGGCAAAGCCAGCCAGAAAGAAAAAGATTGAAATGATGTTGACAACCATTTTGTGGGGGATTACGTGGGGAGGAGTTTTGACTTGTACAAAAAGATGGGTGAACTTATAAGAAAAGTATCCTACCAAAAATTTTCAAGACGTGCTTAGCAATCTTTTGCAAATTAACCATGCACATCCTATCTTACAGCCGAACGGAGGCGCAATGACCACCACAATCGCGGTACTCTTCTTGGCATACTGTTCGAGTAAGTTGGCCGCGATTTCAAAGCATGATCATTTCCACATGGTGATGAGATGAGGAACGTGTTCGGATTTCGTACCTTAAACACCCTTGAGAGAGTGGCTTTCTTTTGTTCTTTTTAGCTTCTATCATTGCGCTAATTCGATCTTTTAGCTTTGAAATCGTTGACGTACACGTTCTCTCCCCACTTTGTTATCGTAGGCGCCGGTTTGATTAATGTGATTATGTAATCACTGTTGCTCTGGTAAAGTCACACTGATTCTATCAGGGTCCTAATCATGGTCGTACATCACATTCCCCACATGGCAATCACGCTCAGATCTCTCGATTATCGTCATTGCCCTCAACCCACATTTCATTTTCATTTGTATATAAACAGCGTGAGAATCACTTCTTTCAATTGAATCATCATCGATCCCCTCATTAATCTGTTTTTGATAAGCACATTAGTGACTGAAACTCATTAATGACGCTAGAAGAAAAACAACGGCTCACAACATTCCGAAAGAGAAAAGTCGAATACATTGACGAGAAAAAACATTAATTAAAGTTGCTTTGCAGAAAATCTATGCAAGAAGGATCCGAGTAGCTTACCGAAGCTAAAGTCAACTTTTTGGAAAAGAAAACCGAACGAGATCGGCAACTTGACCGATGCAAGGCTGAGAAAGAAAGGAAGTATGTGATACATGGTCATCTTGATATCCGATCCCATCATAGCAAATGTAGCGACAATGACGACAACAAAGGGCAAGCAGACAAAATCGCATCCTATCGTTCTGTTGTTGATAGCTGTCGCCTCTGCTTGTGTTGTTTTGTGGCCTTGGCTATTCAACATACAGAAGCAAAAACTCCAGCTCGCTTCTCGAATTTTGCCTTTATTTGACTCACATTTGCGTGATATCTTCTTGGATCCTTGGTCATGGCAAACGTATGAAAAAGAATATGCCCAGACAAGAACGTATGATTGGATTATTTCTCGATCCCTTGTTGCCCCAGATGGTGTTTTACGCGAGATGATCACTGTCAATGGCGCATTTCCCGGTCCAACAATCGAGGCAAATGTAGGCGATCGAATTATCGTTAGGATACAAAATCATCTTACTTTTCCTGAAAACCAACCTGAGCGACAACGATATTCAACAATGATGCACAAAGTACACCACAAACACACAGACAGTCATGTTGCATTGCATTGGCATGGATTACGAATGTATGCACAATCAGATCAAGATGGCGCGCATGGATTCACATCTTGCAGTATACCTCCTGGCAAGTCTCACACGTACAACTTCACTTTAGGGTCGGAAGATGTAGGAACACACTGGTGGCACTCTCACGTAGGGATGTCAAGAAGTGATGGTTTATGGGGAGCATTGATTGTTCGCGATCCGGAAGAGAGGCATCGAATTGCCACAATGGCCGGTCAGTCATACGATGCAGAAGCATTGGTCGCTTTTGGAGATCATTATCATAAGACTGGCGCACATCAGTTGTCTTGGTTTATGTCTTTATCCTCTCTGGGTTTCGAGCCAACACCTGAGTCAAGCTTGATCAACGGCAAGAATATTTTCAATTGCAGTCGAGCCATTGCACCTGACACTGCTTGTAGCTCCCTGCACTCACAGTATTCACAGATTCCTCTCGGCACAAAAGATGAGAAAACTAGGTTACGACTCATAAATGTAGGAGCAGTTGCAAACCAATTCGTCAGCATTGATCATCATACGCTAACGGTTGTAGAAGTTGACGGTACTCTCATCAAGCCATTTACTGTCCGCAGATTAACAATTGCTCCAGGACAACGATATTCGGTAATTGCCGATAGAGCCAAAGACTTTTCAGATGATAAGGTAGAGTATTGGTTTCGCACGACGATCGATCATGAATGCTTCAATATGCCTAATCCTGCTTTAACCTTGACATCGAAAGCGATTATTCGATACACAGAAAAACAAAAGCAAGCCCAAGAGGGAAGCGGTGCAGCCTTTCGTAGTAGCGGTCTTGATCTTCGTAGTAGGGGTATCGGCGTAGATGAGATCAATCAAATGTGGAATAAATTGTCAATCTTTGGCGGGAAAAGTATACCAAAAACACAGCCCTGGTCTGAAGTACCTGAACCGGAGAATGGGATCTTAATGGATTCATGTCAAGATGTACATCATTCAGCTTTAAAGCCACTGTTTGGAGAGCAAGATCCTGCGCCTGCTACCTTTGATCAGCAATTCATTTTAGATGCAAGAATGCCAAGGCTTTCAACGAATAAACTGGTTCCAATGGGATATATCAATGGTTCATCATGGCGTTCAGATGAGAATGAACCGCTTCTCAATCGGTATACTGTCCGAGAGAAACATGGAAGTGCTGCAAACCCCGCAGAAAGGAACGGTCCAATGGTGTTAGAGTTACCTTTACATCATTCTACACCCGGTTTCATTGAGGTGATTGTGCAAAATTGGGATGACGGGCCACATCCATTCCACTTACATGGACACAAGTTTTGGGTCATGGAAACATTTCAAACGGCGTATTTGCATGGTTTATACAAGGATAAAGGTCAATCAAAAAAGTATAACTTGAGCGAAGCAACAAAGAGAGATACTGTCAATATTCCAAGACGAGGATATGCAGTTCTTCGTTGGAAAGCTGACAATCCTGGCGTTTGGGCGTTTCATTGTCACGTTCTGGTTCATATGGTTAGCGGAATGGCAATGGCCTTTGTTGATATGCCTGAAAAGATTCCCGATCTTGGAATATCGACCAAAATGTGTAAACCTTCACTTTGACTTGCCATGCTTGCTTAGCATCATCCTTCTCCTTAGCGCCTCTATCAAATTAGCGTTTCGGCAGGCACCCGTCAAATGTTGCTGCGGAGGTAGGCTTAGCTTTTGCAGTAGCGTATGAATTGCGAACGTGGTCATGCAATTAACCATTATCGCCGACGCTAAAGGTTAAACTTTTGCCGCCGCTTCTCGTTCTTCTTGCCGCTTCTTCCGGTCAGCTTCTTATAGGGAACGTTCATTTTGCAATTCAATTTCAAAAAGACAAATTTTTATTGGCTCGCAACGGACGTAGAACGATGCCGCTCATAAACGCGCCGGGAAGAACCTAGACAGGACGAATTTGTACTCAATTATGGTATATATAGAGAGCTAAACAATTGAGAAATCGCTATTTCCACCGTATCTATCCGCAATAATGTTAATCAGCTCTTTTGTTACTCTGTCCCTTTTGGCAAGTCAGGCTTCTCTAGCTCTTGCTAAAGCAAACCTACCGCCTATCCCAGCCGACAAAAGCACACCAATTCATCAACGACTTTCGTTAACGGCTCCACAGAGTGAGTGAAGCAGGGTTGGATAAATGTAGAGAATAATGAACTAACTTTCCGTTTATCTGCAGCAATCTCTGTTGCTTGGAATACGTATGAGAAACTCGCAAAGCCATGCGTGCAATACGGTGAATCGGAATCTTCGCTCACTCAAACAGCATGTTCGACTAGCTCGGTAACATACAAAACTTCACGAACGTGGGCAAATTCAGTTCGAATTGATGGGTTGAAACCGGCAACAAAATACTACTACAAAATCGTTTCTACCAATTCAACTGCTGACTTTTTCCAAACTGGACGTGAAGCTGGTGACATGACTCCTTTCACAATGGTCACCTTGGCTGATTTGGGTGTTGTTGGACCGGATGGATATACGTTGAACGGGGACGCATCAAAGCGTGATACGATTCCGCAAGTCGATCCATCTCTTGAGCATACTACAATTTCACAATTGGCAAAAAGCGTTGCAGACTACGAATTCATCATTCATCCAGGCGATTTAGCATACGCCGATGATTGGCAAGGTGAGAATCAAGAAGCGGCGATGCAATATTCTAATGATGAGCTAAATTTTATGTTCTTCCCTCTCCTTAGAAAAAACCCATAATCAAGGTGACGGTCAAAATGCTTACGAAGCAATCATAGAACAATTCTATGATCAACTTGCTCCTGTTTCAGGCCGTAAACCTTATATGGTCTCACCTGGAAACCATGAAGCAGATTGCATAGAAGGTGGTTATAAGCTTGGTGTTTGCCCACAAGGCCAATACAACTTTACCGATTTTATGAACCGATTCGGAGCAATTTCACCTGCCGCTTATCCTTCATCTTCCCAAAATGCAGCAGCAATTGCAAATGCCAAAAAGGCAAGATCTTTAGCCGTTCCACCATTTTGGTTCTCATTCGATTATGGTCAAGTACATATTGCCATGATTGACACCGAAACTGATTTCACAAATAGTCCAGATGGACCAGGCACAACTTTGGATGCAGGTAATTTCGGATCTGTCGGTCAGCAAATGGCATTCTTGGAAGCTGATTTAGCAAGTGTTGATCGTAGTGTCACTCCTTGGGTCATTGTTGCTGGACACAGACCATGGTACACTGCCGGCAGCGGAGCATGTAAGCCTTGCCAAGCTGCATTTGAAAAGACGTTGTACAAGTATGGCGTTGATCTAGCAGCATTTGGTCACGTTCACAACTTACAGAGATATGCTCCCGTCTACAACAATACTGCCGATGCAGCAGGATACAATAATCCTAAAGCTCCAATGTACGTTGTTATTGGTGGGGCAGGAAACATCGAAGGGCATTCAAGTATCACCCCACGTCAATCTTATAACGAATTCGCATACAATGATTCGTTTGGATATGGAACGTTGACTTTCCACAATCGAACCCATCTCGAAGTCAAATTTATCAACTCTGTCAATGGAAGTGTGCTAGATCAATCCATGTTGTACAAAGAGCACAAGGATAATTTTGTCAACCAATCATAATTGGTACGCAGAATACGATATCATTCATCTTTCATTTTCTCAGGGCCAAACTGTCAGGTACAACATCCAAAAATATTATCCCTGTGAAAGGTGTGACACATGTACTTGTTATCATTCTTCCGATCGTGCTAGTTGGAGAGCTTGAGTCAACGCAGTTATTGTCGCATTTCCGAATGCAGCAACGTTGGTGGGATCATCAAGTGTTAGTGCTTTATCCTCCCGTTGACATCCTGTAGGAATGCCTTTCCCACTAAATTGACCTTGCAGGAACAATGCGGTATAGGGGATGTGCACGATCCTCATTCCTAGATGCTTTTCCGTTGTACTTCGGATGTACCGCACCGTTGCACTTTTACCGGAACATAGCCTACTTTGATATTCATCCGCCGTCATGATCGGCACAAATTGATCGTGAATAGAATGAAAGAGGAAGATTGGCACAGTGATCTCTTTAACAGCATAACTTTGCCCTTGTTGAGTGGCAACCACGCCTTCCGATAGTGGCAAGCTTGAATCATCATATGCTTGAACTGCCTGCAGATTAAAGTACTTTTCCCAAATTTTTTGACCTGCAAACGGTTTCAAAACAGTATCGATACATAAAGTTTCCGTGTATTGCTTCGCTTTTTTGATTTGACCAGCAATTCCGTGCTTTTCGATCCAACTTTCTACCCTCTTGTCAACTTTAGCTTGTCCAAAAAGGGAGAGCAAAATGAATCCTGCAATGCGAGTACCATCTTCCAATTGTGCTACTTGAGTTGCATTAGCGGGTACACCTCCGATTGAAGCTCCAACGACATGCTTTTCCAACTCGGGTGCATACGTGTATAATCTCTGCAAAGTCCAAGCAATAGCATGGCCTCCATTCGAGTACCCTTCTAATCCGATTCTAACTTTGTCCTTAGAGGTAGAAGGAATGATCGTACTGAATTGCAGCAAAGCACGTAGAGCGTCTAAACATGCCGCTGCTGCAACATTGCCTTGCTGAAAAGCTGCTTTGGGACCTTCAAAATCTGGTAAAACGTAGATCCGGTTAAGCGAAAGTTGAATGCCAACGGAGAAAAGTTCGGCTGTGACGTTGCTTGAAAGAATTGTACGTGAAGGACCACATTGTGGATTATTACTGTCATATGCAGCAGCACCTAGAACAACCTCAACGTTGGAGACTTTTGAAGGGTTGTATGTTTTCGGAACAAAGACAGTCATCACGTTCGCTTCAGGTTGGCTTGCATCGAATCCTTGTGAACGATACACGATTTGGTATGTTTTACCGACAGCTTGAAGCATGGGTAAAGCAGTCACATTGAGTTGCACTTCTCGTGAGCGTATAATCTTGCCCAAAGAATATTCGGCAACATCATTTGGCGCTTCAAAGAATGGATCGGCGTGAGCGTTTGTTCCGCAAGTGTCTGACGCTACTGTTGCTAGAGCAAAGATGAAGAATAAAATGATAATGGTGAAGAAGCGCATCGATAAGGTGACTATGAGAGAAGGGAGCGTTGTGGGTAGAAAGAACAATTGCCCTTCAATTATTGGCTAATTTATCGTCTTTCAAGGTCAGCCAACTCATTTGCAGATGAGGCGGAAGACCGTGTAAACTGATTTACGGCACCCGCTTTTTGCATACCTTTATTCATCATGCGGCGTGCTTTTAGGAGGTTGTGTGAACGTTCATTCGGCGCCGATTGATGAGAAATTATCAATATTTGATAGTCAGATAGAAGAGAGTATGGAATGCGTGAGATCAGAGAGGAGTTACTTCTCATTTTGCTTTGAATGCTCCCGCGCGTTTATGAGCTAAAGCGACAAAGATGCTTCCATCAAAGACACCGAGAATGTCATCTTTCTTCATGTACCCGTCTTTTGGCCATAAGAGCATGTATGTGCTACCCCATTCGAAGGCAAAAGCAAAGATACCGAAAATGTCCATCAAGTTTCTACGTTCTTTGATCATTACCAACCCATCACGGAAAGAGAGAGCTTCTTTGTTGTGATATGTTGAATAATCTTCCAAGATGTCTTGAAATTTTTGTTGTTGAAATTGACCACGACGATTATAAGATTCCGTATCAGAGCCATGCTTGCAGCGATGGATATTAGCAACGTAAATGCGCATAAATGGATCGGGAAGCCAATCAGTCCAACGGTTTCCTTTTGTTGGTAATGTGGGGTAAGAGAAGGGTCCATGGATGACGAAAACTGACAAGATTGAAATGATCAAACCGAATCCCAACGATAAAAACGCGAAGAACGTATCGCTTGGCCAAATGACGCCATCACAATCACCGTCAAAGAAGGCGACATGCTTTTGCATAGCAGTCATGCTCTTCGTACTTTCGTTGTAATCTTTACGATCGCCGTTTGGCTGATAAGAGGTGAATATATGCTATAGATTAGTCCTTATGTCTTGACTCGGAAGTGCTTTACGTACTCACCTTCTTCCAAGTGTTTCCGACGTGATATGGAACTGCACGTTTCTTTCCGCCTAAACCTTCTTGTGTCAAATCCAATCGAGTATTATCGAAAAAAGGATCAACGTCAACCCGACGAACGGATTGTTCGATTGGAGACATGTTGGATGTGGTGGTAGTGAGGGAAAGTTGGAGATATCCTTATCTATCACTGCACACACATACATGTACATACACACATGTAGTGTATTCGTAATCAATGCATTTGTATTGGGCTTAATACTTTTTATGCAAGAAGGGTCGGTCACTCATATTAATCGGAAAAGGAGTGTGATTATGTAATTCACACTATCAGGAACACGAGTAAAGGCTTGTACAACACCATCATCACAATTCAGAACGATGTTCAATACGACTACGGGCTGCAAATGAATGACTTCTTTCATGTACCTCTCCAGCCCTTTTGGCGTAATCGCTGAACAATTGCGTATTCTCCAAATGCGAATAACCGACATCACGTTTTTGCGATGGACGATTAGGCAAAACACGCTTGGTACCTGAATGATATTCTCCGGTATACGTTGTCTTGTTTGCCGAACTTGCTCCTGGTAGAACATCAGAACCGTTGTTCAGCTTACGTGTGACACTTTCAAGATCCAGATTGAGATACTTTGCTGTCCATTGACCGATCCAAGTATTCTCATGGTTTCCTTTGAATTGATCCAAGATAAGATTTCCCTTTTTGCTTTTTATATAGGCATATAGTAAAACATCTACACCGGAATGGCCAGTTGTGGACCAACCTAAGTGTGCTCTCCAATTCATGATGCTGGCCAACCAGATTGTCAAACTTAAACCACTATCGCTCTCTTTTGACAAATCTACTGCTCGTTGTACTTCATCATCTTGAACATCGGCAACGGCAAGGTTATCTTTGATGATTGTATCACGCATATAGTTGAATTGATCAGAGTCGCTCTTATTCATGGCCCACGACAAAAATTGAGCAGACAGGAATTCGGTCGAATGTTTTGCGCCAAAGAGAACGTCTGGGTACCATACATATGCGGCCACTTCATCTTCCACTCTCTGTTCGGCCAATGTTAAACCGCCGCATTCGTGATCACTTGTCGAAATGACGATGTACTCTGGCTCATTTGGTGAACCACTTTCATTCTCATCAATCCATTTGACAACGGCTTCAAACATATTATTGTACTCCACAATATCGTAAAAGTGACCAATCGGGTCATTATTATGTGCTGCATGGTCTATCCTTGCCCCTTCGATCATGATGAAGAATGGCTTATCTGCTTGCTTAAGTGCGGTCAAAGCTGCGATTGCCATTTCTGTTAAGCTTGGTTCCATTGTTGCATTTCGGTCAATCTCGTACGCCATATGACTTTTTGTGAACAATCCTAAACTGGGTAATTTGACGGCTTTACCACCTTGATATTTATCAAATTGAGTCTTATTAAGCACGACGTCCCAACCTGCTTTTTGTGCTTCTGCAACAAGATCACGAGAATCTGTACGAGAAGAACCGGAAGTTGAATTTGGTGTAAAATGTCGTAAACCACCTCCCCAAATAAGATCAACTTGACGACCTAAAACAGTCTCTCCTAATTCTTGAGCTGCAATCTCGTTTTCTAAGTCACGATCATCAATGTGGGCAGCATAACTTGCAGGAGTTGCGTGTGTTACCCGACTTGTAGTAACTAAAGCAGTGTTATAATTCTTTTGTTTAGCGGCTTCCAATACTGTACCACAAGCAACCTTTGCATCATCTACGCCAATATATGCGTTCTTACTCTTTACACCACACGAATAAGCAGTTGCACTTGCTGCTGAATCTGTCACATAGCTATCGGTTGAGCGAGTTCTGATTGTACCTAGATTATATTTATCCAATTGCAATTCTGTATCCCATGGCTTACCATCTTTTGCTTGCTTTAATGAACGAGCAAATGTCATAGAAGCCGGACCATGACCATCACTGATTAATTGAATAACGGATCGTTTTCGGTGTTTGGCCGGCTTAGCAGAAATAGCTACGATCAAAAAAGTCAAAAGTAGAAAAATAAAAGAAGGGAAGCGCATTTTGATAAAGCAGCAGAATAAGATGAAAGATGTTGTTGTTGTTGTTTTATAGGAAAGTAGAGGAGTAGCCCTTTTTATAGTTATATTGTGTCCCTAGATTTCATAAAAGGTAATTTAATATATTATACCCCTCTCATGCTCCTATACTGTTCTTTCCCCTTAATTGAGTTCAATTTGATTAAGAAAATCATATCTGATTTGCTTTTATGTTACCGTAGCGAAGAATATTCTTCATTTACCTACTTCAACCAAACGGACAGGGATAAAAGTTTATACAGTCAAGGGCACGTTCTCATCATCGTATTTTCTCGATGACCGACGATGCAAAAGACAAACGATCACATGTTCATTTTTGAGAACTGGTGTCGTACGACAAACGGAACAGTGAAGATCATAAAGCATTTACACGTTCCATTTTGCAGATGCCAAGAAAAGAATAGAATAAGTCAAGGGTGCATTACACAGATGTAGTGGCTTGTACCTGATTACTAAAAAGAAGTTCATATCTTTGATAGCGTGACGTGCGTTTAGCGTTGTCTTGGCAAAAAGTTTTAGTTGTTGTCTGTCTATTCATAGCAAGCTGTAAACGATGATCACATGCACAAAAATAAATAAATTCATATTATCAACAATTTGGTGTCCCACAAGCATACTCTTTCCCTATCCTTCGTAATTGTCCATCAGGGAAGAACATGCTTGTATATTTGCTGATATAATTATCAGGTGGATTATTCAACGCATAACAACCAGTCCATGCTACCCGTTTCACATAAGCCTTTAAATCGAGCCATTTAATGAAATCAATCATAAATTGACGTACTTGTGCATTCGTACCTTTTGATGCATTTGTCGTTCCAATCTCGGTAACCCAAATAGGCAGCTTATATTTGCTCCATGCTTGTGAGATATAACTTTGGGCATAGTCTAAACTATTATAGGATCCATAATAATGAACGGCAATAAAATCAACATCACTACCTCTCGAGCGGAGTTCCTAAATGAGGAAGGACGCGAAATGTCAGTAAGAAATGTCAAGTGTCTCTGTTTCTACTTTACCTACTGTAAGAAATGCATCCAGCCAAGTATAATTCCATGCAATCTGAGGACTGCTAACTTGCACGCCCATTTGCCGATAAGGTTCCAATTCAGCAATGTAATCAAGTGCTGCTTCGAGAGGAGTCATGTTGGATTGTGAGACAACATCTGGTTCATTATATGCAAGGATATACTTGGGTAGAGAACAATTCATTTCTACTACACGTTCTGCCCATTCGGATACATATTTTGGTCCCCAATTCATAGGTATATATTCCACTTTGTCGGGTAACGTTTCAATCGGTCCTAGTTGCCAATGATATGCCCAAGTGATTAATGGCTTATCGGCGATTGTTGGTGCCCAAGCATCGTTGACACCCCAAGCCAACCCTCTTACCGCTGCCAGAGCTGGTAAAGGCCGAAACATAAGAATAGAAAGCAGACCAGCTGTAATAAAGGAGAAAGATGATCTCATGGTCAACATTATTCGATCACTCTAAAGGATGAGGCCAGCTCAAAAGGAGATATAAGGTGTATATGGTGGTGATCAAAGAAGAAAATATTTAAGGTCTTCAACATCGTAGGTGTTTCACCTTAAAGAACATTTCGGCAATTCTATCTTCTATTCAGGAACCAGGAACAGAGGATTAAAATGATGTATCCTAATAGATGCGTTAACGTGTTCGGCATATTTATGCGCGTTTTCTCTTAGCGCATTGTACGGCACTTTTTCACAGAGTAATAAAATATAAACTCTACTTATTTATAAACTCAAACAAATTAATTTTATATTCGATCATCATCATCAATAAGAACAAAAATAGATACATCGTAAAGAATTAATATATCCAAAGAGAGTTTTTTTCTTTTCATTTAAAATTTCTTATCATCAACAGAGTCTGATTCTCCATTTGAGCCTTGCTTCCCATTTGTTGGAGTTGCATTTTTAACATCTTGTGTGTGCGTGAAAAGATCGATATCTGTCGTTGCAAACTTGCGGGCGGGAATTTTAGCAGCAAATAAAGCATCCAATTCAGCAAACGTTCTACCACGGGTTTCAACCAATCGGAAGTAGCAGTATGTGCATGCAGCAATCCCTGTGCCCATCCAAAATAAGCCGCAACGGGCTCCCCATCCCCAACTGGTTGGTTGAATCATTCTTGGAGTAATTGTATTGCATACTAAGCCCATCAAGTTGTAGCTTATGCGCGACAATACAACAGCGATTGGTCGTAAACGAGAAGAAGATACCTCTGCAACGATGCAGTAGCAAACAGGACCAATTCCGATATTATAGGCGAAATTTAGGCAGATCAATAAAACACCAACGGCTAAACTTGTGTTAGGTATGAAACCTAAAATACCGATAATCAGAGAGATAAAGCTCATAAGAGCAATACCGCCAATGTAGATCGTACGACGGCCGACCTTGTTTAAGAAGAACCATGAAACGATTGTTCCGACCGTAAACATTGTAGTCACTCCTAGGTTGAAATCGAATGCTGATTCGTCATCCATACCGGCTTGTTGTAAAAATGTAACAGCATAGCCAATCAAAGGTCCGCCCGCGAGATATTGAATGGCAAAAACAGCACATCCAATCTCTGTTCTACGTAAATTCGTTCCTCTGAAGCAATCAAGGATGTTCACACCCTCGTTTTCGGCCTTTTCAATCGCGTCAGTATGCTGCATCATAGCCAAAGTGTCTTGTACTTCTTCTTCCGATGTGCTAGAGGAGTTTAATCTGCGAATGCTATGTTCAGCATCGTCTACACGTCCTTTACGAATTAACCACCAAGGAGATTCTGGCGCGAAACAGACTCCAATGAACAATGGAAGAGGCCAAATCCATTGTAAGGCAAACGGAACATGATATGCTTTTGCTCCTTCAAGGTCTAAAGCTGCACGTGCAACGCCACTACTCATCAAGATTCCGAAACCCCAACACATGTTGACATATGATGTTAAAAGAGGTCGTAAAGCGATTGGTAAGATGTCGGCGGCATAAGCAGTCGTGATTGTCTGGAGAGTGGAGCAGAAGTAAAATCAGTTTTAAGTTCTTACTTTAGTTTTTAAATGTCAAAAAACTTTCCTGGAAAATTCCCCAGGGTAAACCGCACAATATTTCGCCGAGAACAAGGACTGGTAAGTTTGGAGCGAAGAAAACGGGAAAGATTGCACATGCCATAAACGCTAAAGCCGTAGCCATGGTTCTACGGTAGCCAAAGCGTTGTGAAGCCCAAGAATTGATTAATAAGCCAACGATTTGACCACACAAAGCTCCGTTTGTCAGACCTGATTGCCAAGAAGCAGGGATATACCATTTTTGATTTGCTTCATCGAATTTACCATAATGTTGTCTGAATTGTTCTTGTCCGTAGAAGGAATTAATGATGACTAAATCATAACCTTCCATAACGAGTGCCGTTGAAAGAAGCATAGACCATAATACAGCTTTCTTATTTCTTTTTAAAGCTTGCCATAATGTCATTTCATGATCAGTTTTAGTTGCTTTTGCAGCTGCATCGACGACAACATCGTAGTTGTCTAACTGTTGCGCCACCTTATATGCATCAATACGAGCGGTTTGGTGATGACTGTCCTCGAGGACATGAAGATTGCTAGCCATTATAATAAAGTGCTATTCGTTAGGTAGAAAGGTTATTGCGATAGAAGTTAGGAGGATGAGGAATTTAATGAATGAGGCTAGATGTGCGACGGTGCCTTTATATGCTTTTAAATGCTGTTATAAGAATCGGATGACTTTCTTGCTATTTGATGAAACATCTTTAACGGACATTGACGGGCGCCGCTACGTTCGTACTTTGTTTGTACCTTTTGTCTTTGTGGGGAAATCTGGGGAAGGTAGCTTCGGAGGAGAATTAGGACTTATGACCAAAAATGTTCAAAACGTAAATGTTTTCTCATCACCGGTCGCCGGTCAGACAGATATTCTTCATGCTGATATAGGTGAAGGAGAAGCTTTCGCTAGTGATCGTAGTTTAAGAGTAAGTCAAACGGTAAACGGCCGCCGGTTGTTTAATGTCTATTGTACGAAGAATAAAGTTTTTCAATCAGATTACTCACTGTTCTTTTACTCAAGTAGATCACTCTCTTTTTTTTACTCAATTGCACGCGTTTACAGAATAAGGCTGTACCGGTGACCGACGCTGTCACGCGCCACAAATTAAAGCCACACTCAGGAGTAGCGCGGCCAAGGAACGGGGTAACCAGGGTGTAGTCCGTGCACAGCAAAATAGCGGTACCGGTCTAGGCTAAATTAAAAGCTTTCACCCTACAATTTATCATCGGTCACCGGCGCTTCTCTGGCTCAACACGTACTTACAATTAGCATTCAAAGACTAGAACACTCTTATCTATTTCACCGGTCACGCAGATTTAAAGTTGACTTCCTAGTCGTTTATAGCGATCGCTGACCGGCTCGTCGGAACGCATGCCTTGTAATATATTCTTAAAGAATGATATATAAAAGATGATGATTTAATATTCAACTTCTTTTTCATTCAACATCCTACTCAATCATAATGGTAGCTGCTTTACAAGAGCTCAAAGGAACTGTTCTCCAATATCGCCACGACACAGAACGGGTTTGGGTACAGCCATGGGGTCCAAACGCTTTACGGGTACGTGCAATGCGTGATGCATTCATAACTTTGGATCAGGATTGGGCACTTTCACAACCTGTAAAACCAACTACCGAAGCAACAGTCACAATCAAAGATCAAGAAAATGCTTCGCTTCATAATGGAAAGATCATGGTTCAAATTGTTAAAGGCAAAATGACATTTTTCAATACAGAAACAAATAAACCTTTACTTGAAGAATATGTCCGAAATCGATTCGATCCCGTTGATCCAAATGCAAGCGCATTAGAGCTTGATGCTCGTACGTTTATTTCTGTTCGCGGAACGAATAATTATAAGATTATAGCCCGATTCGAATCCTTAGATCCCGAAGAACGAATTTACGGTATGGGTCAATATCAACAACCATATCTTAATATCAAAGGTGCTGATATTGAATTAGCACATCGTAACTCTCAGGCAAGTATTCCCTTTGCTACATCAAGTCTAGGTTACGGTTTCCTGTGGAATAATCCCGCTATCGGTCGTGCGGTTTTCGGAAAGAATCTTACATCCTTTAAAGCAACCAGTTCTCTAGCATTAGATTATTGGATCGTTGCCGGTGATACACCAGCAGAAATTCAAGAAAGGTACGCAGCTGTGACCGGTTATGTTCCAATGATGCCCGAATACGGTTTAGGGTTTTGGCAATGTAAATTACGCTATCAAACGCAAGAAGAATTGTTACAAGTTGCTCGTGAATATCGAAAGCGAGATTTGCCGTTGGACTTAATCGTGATCGACTTCTTCCATTGGGCTTTACAGGGAGATTGGAAATTTGATAAAACGTTTTGGCCAGATCCAGTAGCAATGATGGCAGAATTAAAGCAACTCGGAGTCGAATTGATGGTCAGTATTTGGCCAACGGTCGATAAGCGGAGTGAGAACTACGAACAACTTCGAGCCGATGGTCATCTTGTCAAAACTGAAAGAGGTTCACAGACGCAGCTCGATTTCCAAGGAGAATGCAATTTCGCCGATTTCAGCAACCCTGAAGCTAGAAAAGCAGTCTGGCAAATCGCAAAACGCAATTATTTCGAGCTTGGAATCAAAACATTCTGGTTAGATGAAGCGGAGCCCGAATTTACCGGATACGATTACGATCATTATCGTATGCATGCAGGTTCATTCTTGCAAGCGGGAAATATTTACCCTAAATGCTATGCAGAGGCATTTTATGAAGGACAAGAAGAAGCAGGCCAAAAGAATATCGTAAACTTGTTGAGATGTGCCTGGGCAGGCTCACAAAAGTATGGCGCACTGGTTTGGAGTGGTGATATCGCATCATCCTGGAAATCATACCGTAATCAATTGGCTGCTGGATTGAATATGGGTTTGTCGGGTATTCCATGGTGGACGACCGATATCGGAGGATTCCACGGAGGTGATCCAAATGATGAAGCTTTCCGTGAATTATTTGTCAGGTGGTTCCAATGGGGTACATTCTGCCCAGTCATGCGGTTACACGGAGATCGCGAACCAAAACAACCTCAACTCGGAACAACCGGTGGTTCAGGCTGTCTCAGTGGCGCTGACAATGAAGTTTGGAGCTATGGTGAAACCGTTTATAAGATTTGCGAAACCTACATGTATATTCGAGAAGATTTACGCAACTACACACGTTCTTTAATGGAAGAAGCTCATCAAAAGGGCTCACCTGTTATACGCACTATGTTCTACACGTTCCCAAAAGACGACGAAGCTTGGAAGGTTGAGGATCAGTATATGTATGGCGACCGTTATTTGGTTGCACCTGTTTTGCAACCTGGACAACGTCAAAGAAAGGTATATTTCCCTAAAGGTACGATTTGGCAACAATTCAAAGCATCTACCACACCCCGCAAAGCCAAGTCTATTACTGCTTCCGAGAATACCTCTGGATCTAGTATTCAAGGTGGTCAAACTATCACTGTCGATGCCCCATTGGAAGAGATGCCAGTATTTGTGCGAGTTGGCTGAGCTGTACGACCAGAGACCTGTATATTTATTTTATTGAATCTTATTTTCTGAAAAAAGCGAACCCTTCCGAACGTGTCCATCATAAAGTAAACGGAGACTATGCAGATTCAATTAATCTTATAGTTTAATATGGAGATAGTGCGCAGCGCCTTTTTACATAAATTAAGAAAAGTGAAAGTCTATCATGTCTGTGCTTTAGTGCATGAGGCTATAGTGGAAGCTTCTTCTGCAGGGTTATGATCTAGAAGTTTGTTTGTAAGTCTTTCTCACACTTGAGGGAACATGTACCATTAGCGTTCTTTTACGCCTTCTATCAAACAAGTTGCCGAACATGCGTATTTCTACATTAAACCTTTGCCATCATACCACGCTAAAGATATAGTTTAGGCACAAGACCTTAGACCGGACGGGCGGACCCGACCGTCTTTCTTCTTTTGCATAAACACAAGCACCTTTATAGTCATGACATCATCCCACTTTACATCACACACTGGCGTAAGGAACAAACATTCAGCCTCAAAACCATGTGGTCGGCAAACACCCGCTAGCTTTTTGAGTTACGATCAAATCACGCAAAGTTAAATTACGATTCTATCCGCAAGTCACTTCCGCAATATTGCCAGCTTTTCTATACTGCTTATACAATAATAGAAGTAAGTTAGCTCTACGGGCTAAGTTTTTATAAAGTTAAGCTTCTCTCACGGCCGCTAAAGAAGTGGTCCCTCTTCCTATCTTTCAAATGAATTTTATTCACGATGTTTGTTTCTGAGCAATACTATATAAAAGGATCAAATGAAGCGACATCGTGAAAAACCATAATCAGAGCTTATCCTCACCCAATCTTATCTCATCATGAAGTCACAATTCACTTGCATTGCTTTTGCTGCTATTCTCATTTCTCAAGTTGCTGCCGTATCAAAGCGCGGTATCGCATGGCCATACTTTGAGAAGTACGACGTCAGCACATTTTACGCAAATGGCAAAGTTGGCTGGGTAAGTGAGAGGCCATATCAATACTATATTCGTTTGAAGCTCACTTTCAGTACAATCTGACTCTCCTTCTATCAGGTATATGATTATGAAAAATACAAACCAACCGGAGGACCAGTACCAAATGGCATGGAATTTGATGTTATGCAACGTGTAGATGATAGCAGCATTGGACAATTAGCAAGCGCTGCAGCCCAAAACGGTCCTTATGTTTTAGGTTTCAACGAGCCCGATAACGCTGGTCAAGCAAATTTGTCACCTCAGCAAGCAGCAAGCCTGTGAGTATATGTTTGATGGTTTACATAGACTAGGAACTGAAACCTGACCGCTTTTTCTGTAGCTGGAAACAATACTTTGAACCTTTACGTTCGCAAGGTAAAAAGTTGGTTGCTCCTGCTATTACTTCTTCCAGTAATCAGGGCCAAGGCTTGAGTTGGTTGGACGAATTCGTTGCAGCTTGTTCAGGCTGCCATTTTGATGCATATGCATTCCATCCGTATGCTTCAAACGCTGACGCCGTTCAAGGTTCGGTTAACTACTTTGTAAACTATAAGAGTGAGTCATCGGCACAATTCTCATATACCCTTATTTCTACGAATAGAAGCTGATTATATCTTTTTCTAGATGGAGCCTATACTCCTGCATGGATCACTGAATTTGGTCGTTCACCAGATACTGTTTCAAATGCAGGCGGCGCTCAATTCATTCAGTCGGTGATCAATTACCTCGATAGCGAGCCCCGTGTACAGCGTTATGCCTACCTTGCACGTTTTGATCCAAACAGTGTCAACGTGCAACGTGATTTACAAAACGCCGATGGCTCAAAAACCGCTTTAGGCAACGTTTATGTCAGTTAATTCGTGCAATTGTTGAAGAAATTCCTGTCAAACTTTATAACTTCTTAGTCCCCGTTTCCTTCTTGCGTAACGTAGGATTTTTATTTCATATTTCATAGCATCCAAACTGCTGTGTAATGAGATCATTCAATTGTGAAAACTGTTTATCGTATGAATGCCTGCAATGAAGGAGTAAGACGTATCAGGAAAGCATAGCTTATTCCGAAAAGAAACGTTCATTCACTCTTTACATCAATGCAGCACCACACTGCGCTACTCCCTGCACCGAGAGGCGTTCTGAAGAACAAGACTCAGTGGATTTCATAAAGTCCTTCAAAGCATGCATCTTGTACCGGCTTCTGTGTGGCAAAAGTGAGCCGTACAAGGAATGAGAATAATGGACTTATTAATAAATTAAAGCTTATTTTCAAGTTTCTGGAAGGGGATCTTGTCTATTTCCAAGGAAGCAAGATATTTCGAAAGCAAAGGTTTGTGTATCAAATGCACATTAGATCACTGTAACAAGAGGTACATGGACATATGGAAAAAGTGCATCGAAATAAAGGTGCTCATAACATTCTTGAATTGCCTAACAGAATTGAATACGGATGCTAGAGTTAGGACCGTTGACTTGACGTTGAGCGGTGTAGTCTGTTGATTTGTAGAAAGCATTATCGGGACCACAGTTTGCATTGCTGCATGTAGCACCAGTTTTACCGTTGTCAAGAGTGAAAGAGGCGGGATGATCGAACTTGTGAGGGGGGATCAAAGTGATATCAGCGGATGAAACGCCATCGACCAAAGAGAATTCGACTGAAGTGCAGCCTACGCCATTAATATCAGAGCATGCCTGAGCAATTCCACCCCGGACGTCCCCGTTAATTGTACGGGAGCCTGCGCCAAAGTTTCCGTGTCCGGGCAACTGAACCGTGGTAGGAGAACCACAGTTGTTGATCACATTGATGCTATGACTGCTTGCACTGGCTGAAGCAACCAATGCCAAAACGGCGACAGAGAGAAATTGGAATGTTTGCATTTTTGAGAGGAAGTTTATTTGATAATTGTGTATGAAGGTTGAGAGAATGAATCATAGAGTAGGCCTGACTTTTATACTTTTCAAAATGATTTTATGAATATTTTACAAGGTTGCAATCCTGTTATAAAGATGCCTTCTACACCCTAGAAATAGCTGCATCACGATCATGATTTCATAATAACTGTGAACGTTCCTTTTTGATCATGCGTCATCCAATCTTATTCAGCCCTTTTCGGCACCTAATGCATAAAAGAGATCTTTAGCGCTTTTTCACTTAGATTAAACTTTAGCGAACTTTTTATGTTTTCTTTCGCAACCGCGCGCACCAATGAAGTGACTAACTGTGGAGAAGAAAAGTAGCTTAGTATAGGGTACACATTAGACTTAATGTGATCACAATCTTCCTACCTACAGAATAAACGGGCTTCTGACATTTAGAGCTTATACATGCTGGCGTGGGTAAGTAGAGTGCGGACCGGTAAGTCTATCTCAATGGCGTATAGGATAACAATTGAACATGCAACCTTACGACTTCCTTCGGCATTCCGATGTTAGTATCCACACTAAAATTCAAAAGACGTGGTATGACTTCAGCTCCAACAACTCGACTAAGACAAAAGCATGTGAGTCTGGGCGTTCCTCCAAAGGATATGACGTGATCGTATCCGTCTTTAACGATATGGGGACCAGAAAAGGCCCGTGATCATTGCGGTTTATATTAAACCTTAATCAAGTTGAGGCTGAAGTAGCACAACATGGGCGTCTGTTTGAAGACTATGCGGGAATTTTTATTTTCACTCCATCAACATCGAAAAGTATATAAACATACGACACCAAGATACAAATACCTCATTCTAATCACAATTTGTCTCCAAATAAACTACAAAGATGTATACTTCTTCCTTTTCCGCTCTTGTGTTGATCTCTTTGATCGGCTCAAGCACGGCATTCAACATCAACTTTATCAACAAATGCACTTATACTGTTTGGCCTGCCATCGGTGATGCACCCAACGGTCAGCCAAACGAATCTATCCGCTTCGGAGATCGATTGAACCCGGGTCAATCAGTTTCTCACGGCATTGATGATCACGCAGTTGGCGTTCGCGGCTGGGGTCGTACAGGATGTGATAGCAATGGAGCGAATTGCAAAACTGGCGCTTGCAACGGTGGCCTTGTTTGCACTGACGCTGGCATCACATCTCATGCTCTTTTGAGTGAATACGGTTACGGCTCGAACAACCGAATCTACTGGGACCGTGAGTAAGGATTGCACTTATATAGCGTTCCAAAGTCCCCTTATGAGCGCAGATGAAAAGTACTGATACCCCTTTCCCCCCTAGTATCATTCGTTGGAGGTACAGTCAACATTCCCGCTGAACTGCAAGGTCCAGATGGCCAAAGTGTTACCTGCAAAAACACAAATTGCCCTACTAATCAAGCATTCCACACTTCAGGTGATTACGGCGCTATCCGTAATTCCGCTCTTGGCGGTACTTATAATCATATCTTCTGCCCTTAAATGGGAATTCATGTAAGAGTACCTTTCTTACAGAGCTAGGAATGTCATGATTTATATGAGAAAGAACAGGCCCCTAAGAGGGGGCGCTGCTTTTCTCCTTATATGGAGTTTGAAGGCTCGAGCGTATTGATAAATTTAAACTTTTTCCGTCATCTTGGCCATCTTTTCGAACCACCACTTGCAATCATGAGTCTGCCAAGTCTACCGAGTCTACCCAGCCTGCCAAATCTGCCAGGTTTGTCGAGTTTGCCAAATGTGCCATTCATACAATCACGATGGGCTTCTTTCTTTCAGCCACCGATGGCTACTCAAGCATTTTTAGTGTGTCTAGCAAGCGCTGCCAACTATATATCGGAGAATGATTCATCTGGACATCGTAAAACGGCAATCTTTAAACAAAAGAATCCATTAAATGATATACTTCACTTTATGGATTACAAAAAACATCATCGAAAATTGGTAAAAGCATCTAAAACTTTGGTTCCGCTGTTATCGGTCGTTCAGCCAGTATATATGGTTTACCTTTATCAATGTAAGAAGAAGCCCAACTTTCCTACATTTAAAGCTATGCCGTTTTTCGCACTTTCTGTAGCTGGAGTAGGCTGGCAACTGTTGTGTTCAAAAATGTTGGAAAAAAAAGGTTTGCACGTTCACCGATGGGGCCTTTATCGCATCGGTATTCTGGCTAATGCGCTATGTGTTTCAGCTGCAATCGTTGGACCATTGAGCCCATGGCTGGATCTTTTGGGAACCAAAGCCTTTTGGTCTGGAAGAATTTTAGGCAAAAGTCTGGTAGCAAGTCCAAGATCAATTGCTCAAGGGGCTGCTTATCTTATCGGATTTGCAAGATTTACGGATGTATTGTGGCATCATTAGCCATAGTCCGCAAAGAGTAGTCTATTGGAGCATGATAGCTTTCAATCTAGTATAATTATGATATAGAAGTTTCGTTAATAAGATTCCGTAATGATACAAAATATAGTACAAGTGCATAGCTATTGATTCGACCTATGAAGGAGATATAGAATCATCGCATTAGAAGACAACAGCAAAAAGCAAAGCAAGGTAAACGCCCATCCTATTCCCATACCGTTTGTCATTGGCAAGATTGCCGACGTACCTGCAGCGGCAAGCAGACATCTTGTCAGGTTCATATTTGCATTCGCAGATGCAGATTTCGTAGGATATTCATCTACCAAGAATGTTTGAACGGCAGTTTGAATGGCAATCAAAGCTGCTGCAATGAAAAACGAAGCAATGATTGGAACAGCAATGTGTACGTGTTTATCCACTGTCCATCCAAATACCAAAACAGCAGCACTTTCAACAATGCTAAATATCCATGCTGATCCTAATCTGGCTTTGACGATGTTCAGCGGTTTGCCACTAGCTTGACTGGTATTCGACCGTTCACGACGAAGGTGTGATTTGTTGGCTCTTGCGTAGGTCCAATCTAGCAATTTACCCACGATCAATGTTCCAGCCATCGTTCCTCCACCATTAGCCAAGAATGTCAAGCCGACTTGAAGTTGATTCAATCCATATTCACGAGCAAAGAACGTCGAGGATACGGTGACGTTCATTTGCCAAATAGCATAATGTAAGGACATATAACCCGAGCTCAGAGCAACGCTTGGATGACGTAAAAGCAAGAAAGGTTGAAAAATGTTCTTCAGAGGGAAATGTCTTGCTTTTTTGGCTTCCACTCGTTCTTCTTCCGTTAGAACGATTTGATTCTCCTTCTTGACCCAAATGCTATACAATGGAGCAAGTGCTAGTCCTGTCGGTCGAACATTACCAGTTCCCACAATCTTTCGCATAGTTTCCGGCATTCCAACAGCGGCAAGAAGGAGAAATGATCCACCATAACCAACCAGAAGCCAGAAAATACTTCTCCATCCAACAGTTTCTGACATTGCGCCTCCAATTACAGGTCCAAGAGCGGTTGCCATCAAAGAAGCAGCGTTAAAGATACCCATATAACCTGCACGTCGATCCCGATCGACAACATCTCCAACGATTGCCGCTCCAATAGCAACAGAACTTGCACTTGCGCTACTTTGAACGGCACGTAAAACGGCAAGTTGAGCATAAAATTTTGTTAATGCCAAACCAACATTCACTCCGAGATAGATCGTGAACGTGATAATAATCACCGTCCTTCTCCCTTTGATATCCGAAAGTGGAGCCCAAACGGAAGGTGAAAGACCTTGGAAGATGAGGTAAAGAGTGACTGTCAAATTGACTAATTCTGGAGTGACGTGTAAATCTTGAGCGATTGGCGTGATGGATGGGAAGTAGATGTTTGAAGATAATCCCGAGAAAGAAGCAGACCATGATGCGATTGCAACGATTGCGATGATTTGATGTGGCGAAAAGATGGTATAAGGTGGCTTTGATTTGGATGACTTTTTTTCATTCTTTTCCACATCGGGAGGATCAAGAAGGACGGGTGCCTGGGTGGGTATTATATTGGTGACTGGTGTTCCTCTCTTGTCTTCATTGCCGGTATGAATGCTACTTGAAGAGGATGAATGTTGGATATGATCCGTTGTACTTTCTTGTTCTGTGTCATGATGCGCTGATGTGTCTTGCACTTCTTCCGCTTTCATGACCGAGTATGAATAGATTGCGTTTTATTCTAGTATGTTCATGAGAAGAGATGATGGTTGTTGCTAAGTTTTGTTGTGATGCATACGACTCGATCATAGCGTAAAATCAACTGCAATTCAAACGAGAATTCGTTCAAAGGCATTTTTTGTTTTGCAGCACTCCTGATTCCCGCTCATTCGGGTTTATCATTTTTAAACGCCGAAAAGAAGCATAAGCGCTATTTACAATCGGACGAGTTACCGAAATGAAATCTTTACACGCGCGTGTTTGCGGGGAAGAAAAGATAAAGAACAATTCAAAAAATGATTATCATTTCGAGTCATTGCAACAAACATCAAGCTTACTGCATCTCTAACAAAACTTTCAATAATGACAGCTTCATTTGCATGCGTGAATTG